AGACCAGAGAGAAGGTAGAAGATAATGGAGTGTCTGACAGATAAGCGCTGCAGGAGAGTAGGAGAGCTGGGTTGGAATACAAGAGATCACCGGGCTGAGTATTGATTTCCATTCCCTGGCTTTTCTGCTGGTTTACCCTTGCTCCTGGTCTGGACCGTACATACTCCATGTTGCTTTTAAATGATCAGTTTTCGTATGGGTGACCACCCCATCCCTCAATGTATGCAGACGTTTTTAACTCTTTCCTATGTACAATGGAGAACTGAGGCAAACTCTGACCAGCTATGGTGTCTGCGTGTTTCCAGAGTCATGGGGCTGGTGCCAGTTGGGCAGTGCCCAGAGAACTGTTCAGAGTTTGTGTACAGTCTGTAGAGCTTTGCCTCTCCTGGCTGGGTGCTGATGATGGCTCTGGCAGCAGTTGCTAGCAATCCCTTCGAGGAAAGCCTCTTTTGTAGACTTCCTGGTAGGAGTCTTTTGGCCCAGTTTGCAGTCCGTAGTCACAGCAGCAAGCCCACTGCTCTCATAAAGAAAGTTCTTGGGTCCAATGGTAGAAGAGGTTTGTTGGGGTAGTAACCAAGTTGATCTGGGACTGGAGTGATAAAAAATCCGCCTTTTTCCTTTTAATTCTCAAACCATAATCAACTACCCATTCTGATGTGGCTTCTAGTTCTTACCTGAAGTTCTTATTCTTTCTTAACCTGTGTATTCTTTTCATTGCAAGACACAAAGTTATTCAACTATAGCAAACAAAACAAAACTTCCAAGAGATTCTGCTTTCAGGGGCTCTCTCTCTCCTTCATGTAACATGAGTCTTAAAACAGGTTGTAAACACCTTTCTTCCAGTTTGGTGAGACATAAAATTCCTAAGCACTTCCCTTATGCTGTCGTCCTTGAATCTAGAAATAGGAAAACCTTGCCGACATTCTGGCTAGAGGAGGAAGTGACTACTGACAGCCAATCACCCACTGAGCCTAAGTGGTCCATGGAAGCCTTTCTCTTTCTCAACAGATGAGTATCTCTCCCCAGACCTCTCTCTAGGGACCAAAGTGGATGCATAAATCAGAAACTTGATTGGCATGACAGGGCAGGAAACAATGGTCTTTCCTGTGACCCCAATACAAAGCTGACCTCCAGGACAGGTGATGCTTCATCATATCCCTCAGGGGTAACACTCTCCATATGATAGCTTGATATTGTCCCTCATTTTACACACACACACACACACACACACACACACACACACACACACACACACAAATCATATCAGCATGTTTAAAAGACCTTATGAAGATACTGAAAAGATGAAAATATAGCTGTGTGAAAATAAAAAGATGCCACTCGATAGAATTAATATTTTGCTTTTTATACTTTTTTCCTATTATTTTGTCCTGTTTTGCCTTCCTTTATGTATTGTTGATGTAATGTCATTATCTTGTATAAATGAGCAACAACAATATCAGTCATGAGTAGTAAATTTGAGAAATTTTCTTTACAAAATAGAGAATCAAGATGCACTTAAATCTGAAGATTTAAGTTGGAGACAAGAAATAAACCGGAAATTATTAGAGAGCTGAAGAATCCCCCTATATACACACCCCCGGGAGGAAAATAGTGATAAAACAGTCATAAATTTCAAGCCCCGACTACAAAGATGGCCTCAGTGTCTACCAATATAATCCAAGTGGTAACCAGCTCATTTGCCTCTCTCACTCATGACCCATCATCTACATGCACATCACTTTCATACCAAGTGTTGACATGTATATAAAGGGGAAAGGAGACTCTGCCTCATGTGAGGAGTGAGCTCTGCTGTAGAGTGAATGGGCTCTGACCATAACTCTACCTCCATACCAACAAACCACAGAATTTTCCAGACTTCAATTTCCTCAACAAGAGAGTAAAGGGAAGAATAGTTTTGTGACCCTGATGCCTCATCAGATAGCTAGGTAAGCCTTATCTTGGGGTGGACCTGTTGCTGGAAGAGATTGGTATTTGAGTCATTGGGTCAAGTGGGAAGAGTCTGCTCTCTACGTGTGAGTGCTGCCCACTTGGCTGAGGGTCCAGAGAGAACAAAAAAAGAAATAAAAATTAAAAAAAAACTATCATTAAAAAAAAATCGGGTAAAAGCAGAAGCAAAAACTATATAGAGGAATAAAGGGAACTAATTGAAGGGAGAAAGGATGAGAAAAAGGAGGCTGGGAAATCCATGGTATGCTTAAACTATAAAATAAACTTGTATGAAAATGTTGTTACGTAACTGCAGGGCGTTTACCCACCAACCCCACAGTTCCCCAGAGTTTTCTTGAGTGTGAGCACCAGGAAATATTAGAGAGAAGGATTTAGAGTGTGGAGAGAAACAGATAGAAAATAAAAGATAGCTTGGAGAGAGCCTGGAACCTATTCCAAGTAGTCCTGACTGTCTCTGCCCCAGGGTATTTATAGAAATACCAAGGGGGTGGAGCAAAAGACCTCCTCCCCCAGCACAGCCAAGTGCAGACCATCTCAGACACCTGCACTCAGGCCCGTGGTCCTAATCATCCTCTTTATGTGGACCTGCTGGGTAAAGCCACGAGGAACCTGAAAATGGGCTCCCACATGTAACACAGCACCATGTACAAATGAAAACTTCAAAATGTTTTAAAGGCTAAAAATATTGTGTCAATTAGCCTATAAAGATGTTGACATCCTAATTCCAGAAATGTATTGAGTGTGCTCAATGAAATAAAAGAAACTGACTCCATTTCATTTTGATATTTCTTAATCAAAGGATAAATTCATTAAGGATAAATTCAAGTCATTTTAAGATAAACAGAACTGGGTCAAATATGCCTCCAAAAGAAACTCAGTTCCACAGGCAATACTAATGAGTATAGTTCAGGAAGAAAAAATATGCCAGGGGACTTATGAGACCACTCAGCAGGTAAGAGTCCTTGTGGTATAGGAGCAATCATCCCTTTGGACGTGAAGGCCCCACAGAGCCTACCTTAGTGGGCCTTCAATGGCAGCATCTGTAATTAGACTTTGATTTTCTGTTGGAATCGACAGTCAACGTGTTTGTTTTCTTTGTTAGTATGTTGATGTTTGATAGCAGATAAAAAACTGTGTCAAAATTAAACCGAAGCATTAAAATCATAATATAAACATCTTTTTAGCTCAAGGAAGCCGAGCCCATAGGAGTTGATAGAGTGGTGGTTTTTAGAGATGGTGAAGAGAGAGGAGGAGAAAGAACAGAGGTGAGATCTCGCCGTGAACACGGAGCTCACTGATTCAGTCTGCATGGTCAATGCGATCCACGCACTTACCTGTCTCCCTCTGTGGTTGTTTGAATGGGCAATGCTCCCACCGGCTCTGTTACATGAGCATTTTGTCTTTAGTTGGTGGCACTGTTTGAGGAGGTTTAAGGAAAGGCAGTTTTGAAAGAGGAAGCAAGCATGTCACTGTATTTCCAGTTCACCTTCTCTGCTTTGTGCTTGCAGTTTCAAGACATGAGCTCTCAGTTACTTTTTCTATTTGCCCATGCCTGCTCCCATGCTGCCCGGTATCTGTCCTCTTATCCCTGCAACTGTAAGCCAAAATAAACTCTTCCTTCTCAAAACAAAACAAAAATTAAGTTAAAAAAGAAAAACGCAATGGAAAGGGGCAATTCACTTTCAGAGAGCTGGGATAACTCGGTGTGCCATCCCTGTGTGTTGCCAGTTAGCCAAGGACACTTTTGCTCCATTTGGATAAAAATCAAGAAAAAATGCAGCATTGCTCCCTTGGCATTACCGGCTCTAGCTGCTGGCCACCCGGAGCACCGGCAGCAACTGCTACCAGCTCAGCCTGCTTTGCTGGAGATTGGAATCAAGGATAGCTGAACTATAAACATCCCAGAGAGGCTTCATCTAGACTCCTGCTACAGCCCAAGGGGCTGCGGAGCCGACTGACTCCATGAGGGTGAGAATGGGGCTCTTTATAAAGGAAAAGGGAACTCGTGCATGTTAGGTGTCTCTGGGTGAGGAGGGCATTCCTCTCATTCCTAATTGAAGGTGTTTGGGGTTCTTAAAGTCCTTCTGCGAAGTTATTGATCAGAACCATGGCTGACATTTCTGCAACCAAAGCAAAAGTCTCTGTCTGAAACAGTCATGGATGCCAGGACAATCTTCTAGTATGGTTGTGAGGCATTTGAGGAAGCCTCCCCCCCCCCCCCCCCCCACACACACGTCAAGTACTTACTAGGTAGGGTCAGGACCTTCAGACTCAAGAGAAAATTAACCAGCAGCATCCCTGGTCCTAAGAGCTTTGAGCTTAGCCTGGCCATACTACCTGGTTCTTTAGCTTGCAAACAGCCCATCAGGAGACTTCTCGGCCTCTGTAATTATGTGTGCCAGCTCCCCAGTAAATCTGCTCTTGTGTGTTTCTGAGTTCGGATTTGAACATGCATCATCCCTCCCACAAGCTCATGGTGGATGCCTTGGCCCCAGATGTTGGTGATGTTTTTAGAGGTGACGGAGACAGAAAAGTGAGGCATGGTTGAGGGAAGCACGTCATTTAGAGTGTGTCTGTGGAGGGCATATTCTGCCCTCTCCACTCCTTACTTCCTGACCACCATCACATGGACTTCTCTGCTCCATCATGCCCTGTTTGCCCCGAGGAATGGACAACTCTTACACTAGGAAACTGAAATTGTTCATGCCAGGAATTCTACTGCAGTGACCAGAAAGCTAATGCCATGTCCCTTTAGTTCTGACTTTCAGAGAACCCCAATACAAGGTCTCACTTCAGTGTGATAAAGATTATGTTAGGTAATGTGTTAAGACGTTCAGGGTACTACTCAGCATGTTCATTATTAATTTTCATTAAGTAATGACTACTACACAAGTTTAATTATTTGGGATAAGGAAGTAAAATTATAGACAACAATGACTTTTGTTTAGAATGATCTGGGAGGTTGATATGGAAAGGCATTGTGGATGATATATAGGTGGCTCATTAGAAACCACATTTTACAGTTTCAGGAATTCTTTTAATCTTTTCAAATACCTTTATTTTTCCTTACCATAGAAAGACATAAAAAGCAGATTGCACAATCAAATGAAATACCAGAGTCATCTGGAGTGTCACACAAGTCATCTTGAGAAGCAGCCGTTCCAACTGCCCACTTCAGTCTCAACATCTGCAGACACCCTTTCCAGCTGCTGTTCTGGAGGAAGAACTGGGTCTCAGAACAACCGGTGACATCTGTCACTGAGATGTGGAAACAAAGCATTATTCAGGCCCCTTTTCAATCAGGGGAGCCATGGGCGCATCTCCATGTCCTTCCTTTGTTGAGTTCCTTCTGTCCTCCATTTTCTTATGGGATCTCACGTCCATCCCTAGGCAATGTCTCTCATTTCTCTCCTTCCTGACCTTGGGTCCCTGGAAGAGCATCAGAAAAAGGCAAAATGCACTAGCAACTTACCATGTCCCCCCTTTGTCCCGACAACTAGACAGGAAGAACGCTCTGATTTTGCAGCAGACTTCCACGCCTTACTTTCTACTAACAAATTAACATCAACCCAATTTAACATATTGATAAAGGTTTCAGTCGTAAAGAAAAGAGTTTTTACTAAACTTTAATGTAAGGGCTGTGATGAATGCAGTTTTTAGGAGGGACCTCCAACCGAAGCAACATTCTCCGGTAGATTGGCTGGGATGGGAGTGGTGGTATCATTTACGATAAGTACTTCACTTTATTGAACACACACTATTGTTCTAGGATCAGAGTATACAGCATTAAATAGGTCCTACCTTCTGGACACTCCACTATTCATGGAGTAAGACAAAGCATCAATACATAAGCTTAAAGGGAAATAAAAAAATAGCTGGTAGTTCACTAATAACTCCAATAAGGAACTTTGGGGGAGGGTTCTTTCATTTTGATGTCTCAGCCGTGTCTTTCAGAGCAAAACAATGGCATTGGTAACCGCCTTATCTATGTGTATTTATGTATCTGCATAACATATAAGAGAGCTCCGTCTCCATCCTCTTGCTTGAACTAGAAAATTAGGAGTTTAAGGCCTGTGGAACATATGCTATTATGAGTGGCAGTCACGTGACTGCCTACCTCAGCCCTTCAGGTGCAAAGTTATGGAGGTGTCTGGTTCAAGCAGTTGCCGTTTTTTGGTTCCTCTATGAATAAACAAATAAATTTGCTTCATTTCTATCCAACATGATTCCCTCATGAAGGTCAGAAGGAGAAACAAATAATGGAGCTGAGATAAAAATTAAGAGGAAATTAAAAATTAGACCAGCTCCAGGAAAGTTCTGACAAATGTTTTTCATTATGTCCGCCACTAATATGCATGCAATCAAAATATGTATTTAGCAGTCATGAATGTCTCTAGTACTTACCAGAGCAATATAAAAAGAAAAACTACAGTGGTGATTTTCTCCAGATTAGCTTTTCTCTTACTGAGATTAGATTATCTGAAAAACACTCATCAGTAATGATCCCACAGAGACTGACTGCAAGCATAAGACCAAACCAGCCAATGGATGGGGGAGGGATTCATAAAGCCCCGCCCCTAGGTGAGGAGCTAGTGACAGCTGATGGTTGTTGGAGAAGGAAGAGTCAGCTTTCTTCAGGAAAGTCGTCCCTCAGAAGCTGCTGATGCTCCAAGAGTAGATGGTCCTACACACACACACACACACACACACACACACACACACACACACACACACACACACACACGCGCGCAGCACTAAGTAGACTCAGTTGTTTTTTTTTAAGATAGAGAGAAAGGGCACAGAAAACTGGGAGGACAAAGTGATTGGGGGATAGAGAAGAAGTTGGAGGTGAGAAAATGGGGTAGATTTTATCAAAATACATTCTATGCACGTAGGAAATTCTCAAACAATAAAAATGCTAAAAATAATAAACGTAAAATGTAATAAGATTGATACTGGCTGATGATGATACAACTTCATGGATATATCACACCATTGAGCATATTCTTTACGTGAATGGGTTTTAGGGTGTGTGCATCATATCTCAATAAAGAAGATGGGAAAACTATCGGAACTATATATATTTTTTTCTTTAATTTGGAAATCATAATAGTCCAATTTGAGTTTTGATACCAAAATAGAAGAATTTAGACAGGCCTGTTGGCATATGCCTGAAATTCCAGCACTCGGGAGGCTGAGGCAGGAGAATCAAGTGTTCGAGGACAGTCTGGGCTATATAGCAAGCTCCAGGACAGCTGAACCTTTACAGCAAGATCCTGTCTCAAGAGCGGAGGGCAGGACAAGCAGAAAGAAATGGAACAGAAGGATGAGAGAGAGGCGGAGGGGAGAGAAGGTAGGTAGGAAAGAGAAAGGAGCGGAAGAAAAGGAAGGAATTAATTATAATCTAACATCACTGGTGAAGAACAGGCCACAAATGCAGCTTTTGGCTCTTTCCCTGCTCTGACTTATAAAAATATTAAATCTACATGTGAGTACAATTTGTTCTTTAAACAAAAAGTAACACAGTCAACCTTTCCTAACCACGAGTTCCACACCTGCGAACTCAAAAAACACATTATCAAAAATACTCAGGGAAAATTGTCTCTACTGAAAATGTACAGTGTTTTTTTCTTCTTCGTATTTCCTAAACAATACACTGTAACAACCACATCCATAGCTTGTAGAGTAAAAGGAATCTAGATATAGACTACATGGTAACATGTGTGTATATTATCAAGAAATAATATGACATTTTGTAAAAGAGACTTGATCATCCTTCAATTTTGGTATATTGTATCCTGGCATATTTGCTAAAACCAATAATTTAGAATCTCTCTTTCTCGTTCTCTGTCTCTCTCTGTCTCTGTCTCTCTGTCTCTCTTTCTCTCTCAGTAACTCCCTTTCTCCCTCCCCCTCTTTGTTTGTGAATGTGTATAAATTTACTGACAAATTCCACTATTTAATAGATATGCTTTAAAATTTATTGACAAACATCACTGTTTAATGCAGCTAGCTTTAAACTACTATGTGGATTATTAAGCAGGGAAATGTTTAAAAGAATATGCATTCTAAAACTTTGATTTTGCACTGACATTTTACAATATACTCTATTTAGAGCTGATATGAAATAGATATTAAATATTAAGTTATCATAAGAAGTACTGAGTGATGTTTTCAAGGCACTTATAAGCTATGAATGAAGAAGTTAGTCTTGGCCTCCTCAAAACTGACAAGACAAGGCCTTTGGGCTCCCTTCCCTATGGCTTAAATGACAGTCCTGTTCTGCCACATACCGAAGAAGGAGGGTGCTTGGTTTGAAGGCACAGGTGCTGTTCAAAGGATTCTGAAAATTCCTGTATTTTGGAATGAGCTCCTCTTTGTGATCCCACTGGCTCCTTGAATGACCCATCCACTGAGCATTTTCTGTGATAACGCATCGGAAGATGGCTTCGGGATCCCTGGTCCTCATGAGAATGTCGTCTAGGGTGGCAGTCAGGTGTCATAATGCTGGGAAATGTGGGAAACTAGAAATATAGAAAAAAATTTAAGTTTACCTCATAATGGATATGTACAATACGAACCCACAGACAGGATACATATAAAATAACAGCTAGAGAAAACATATGTTTCGGGAAAATTTTATCTTTTTTCTCAGTAAGAGCTTCCCCTGCCATAACGCAGCAGAATCAGTGGTTAAACTATCATGTTTAATATCTCCAGACTATGATTATTCCTTGCTCTTCTACCAACAGGACAGTGGAGGACTCCAAACCTGGAGTAAAATTGCCAGAATAATCCTTTAAAAATTTTATTGACACTATAAATGTTTCAGAAATAATGTAAAGATGAATATTTATGGATTTTTAAAATAAATAGAAATAATGGAGGAATTACGAGGAACAATTAATTTATCCTATATATAAAAGTCACTAATACATATCAAAAGAAGTATAAAATTAATCATATATGAAAACTTTAAAATCCTACACATTATCAATGCCTTACAAATATTCAGAACTTACACAACCATGTCATGAAGGCTTCCAGACATGGAGATCATGTAACGACATCAAGGTTGAGGTCACAATTTTAAAATAAACAAAGGGCAGAGTTCAGAGAAGCCAAATTTCCTTAAAGAACCTTTTCCTCACACTCCAGCCTGCTTCAGTGTAGACTTTGTACTGAAGACATTTATCTCCATGTGGCCAAATTCTGCACACAGTTTAGTCTATGTCAGTCACTGAGTTGTATTCAACTTAAGTTTCCCACGGGGCCCTTTTGGAAACATTCTTCTCTCTCCCTTCAGTCACTGTAAATCTTTAGCTTCCTTAGATCTTTCTGTCATGGCGACTCAGACGTTTTGTTCACTTACCCCATCTCTTGAGTGTGAGGGGGCCCCCAAGGTTCTAGATTAGTCCCTTCCTTGTCTTTCTCTTTTCATTCTGCGCTGTCTCCCTACACCTGTCTGGACATCAGTCTCTAGCTATAATCCTAATTTATATCGTAAATGCTGACTTCTCCCCTGAGCTGTCTAGTCAACTCCCCGTGGTGTTCCGTGGACTCTCAAACTGACATATATATCTGAGCTACTCTATAAATCTATAGAAAGCCATTGTTTTGGACCAGGGGTGGGAGCCCACAAAGATTCCAACTTGTGGTTTGACTCAAGGTCAGAGAGTCATAGTTTATGTTGCTCTCCAACTGCATAATAGGGTGCAAAGGCATGATTACCAGGTGTCTTATACTTCAAGGCCTAATCACAAGATGCTTTGCCGTGGGGTGTGGGTACCAGGTGTTTTAAAGGGTCTACACTTGGTTGTATGTTGTGCTTTGATCTTGAAAGGGGGAGGTCTTTTGCCTCTCCCCTTGCTAGTGTATAAAAAGCCCATTAGAAATAAATTTGAGGCAACCCTGGATATTGACCCAGGACCCTCCTGAAGCTATCCTTTGTCTCTTCTCTCTCTCTCTCTCTCTCTCTCTCTCTCTCTCTCTCTCTCTCTCTCTGTCTACTTCTATATTTCCTATCTAGCATTTCTAAATTCCTCACCCCTCCCTTCAAGGGACACTTCGATAGGCTGGGGCTGAACCCCAACACTGAACCTCAACAATGAGGCTTCTGAATTGGCTCCCAACAGATCAGGTGAAAATAAAAATGGAGTCACCCATGCTAAATCTCCAAGTAGTTCCATTAAGAACCCAGAAGAAATGGGACAGCTGAATTTGCCAAGCAGGCTAGTTTCAATGGGCATGCTGACGAAGTAGCCCCTGGTTTGATCCTTAGGCACAGATCAAGACCTAAAGTATCTTCACATTAACCAATAAGTCATTTGCCTTCTGTTTGCCACCCTAGCCAGCCTTTTAAGAAAAGAAACTTGGAAATAATCTAGCAGACCTTTTCCCCCCTTTGTTTCTGCTATTGTCATTCTCTCTGTGTCTTTAAAACCATCTCTACCCATCAGAATATGCATTACATTCTGTAGAACGCAGGCATAGAACACAATGATGGATCCATTGGGGATCCATTCTCGGTAGGTACATCAACTTGAATAATATTCATGCACCAAGCTTCCAAAGCTAAGGGAGCCAGGAGAGAGTACATTAGCACCTGATTTCAGAAGGTGAGAGGGAAAGACATATTGAAGAAAACAGAAGAGTTGCCTGTATCTTTCCTCTTCCAATTCTAAGCAATGTACCCCCTTTGGAGCAGAGAAGGAGGAACTTAAACAAGGCCTTTGACTTGAAACTCAGTATCAGGCCCCTACAGTGAAATCCAGTGCCAGGAGCCCCACAGCCCATGCCCCTAGGACAGTGCACACGGATTAAACCTCTGGAACCATGTTAGACAGGCACCAAGGCAGCACCCCTGCCTTAACTATGAGAGTAGAGGAAGAAGCAGCCGGCACATTGTGGAGTAGGATAAAGTTACTACAAGACTTTGCATTGTAGTTCAGGGCCAAGGATTGCTGCAGTGAAACTCACACCAGACAGAGACTAAGGTTCTAGATTTAAGCCCAATCTTGGCATATAAACCTCTAGGTATCCCCTGGCATCTGGTGGAGATCTGTACACAGATGGGCCAGATCTATGTTTCAGCTTATATCCTTGCCAGGCATGGAGTAGGCATGTATACCTACCTATATCGAGACTTCCTATCTTTGTGGCTATAGGACCCAGACAAAAGCTACCCAGCTTAGCATCAGTCTAGAAAGCCAAGGGACCATATGGACAAAACTACCTACAATGTCCAACAGCACAACGGGGAGCAAGAATATGTTTGCTAGGGGTATGGATGGTGTGAAGACGGGTCTGCCTTAGAACTCAATGGCAGACTAGTGGTCCCTACAACTAGGCCAGTGCCACAGTCAGAACCTCTGCAACTGTCCCAATGCCAGAGAGAGACATGCCACCCAGTCATCACTATCTATAGCTGCTTATAACAGTCTGGAGTGATGAGTTTACCTCAGCAACTGGCAGTAGATAGCAGGGTGACCCTTTGTCTTGAGTGGGTGCTACACTGCCTCAATAGGCTTTGGGCTTGGGCTAAGGGTATGAGGCAACATTCTAGTGTCGGCAATCACATAACTGCTTATTGCAATTTTTCGCAAAGTCCAAACACCGTAACATGGAGAGCATACTTTCCACTTAGGGAAAGCAAAGGGAGGTAAACGCCCAACTGTGCCCTGAGAGTGGAAGCTGCCCTTCCACAGTAAGTTTTCCAGGAACCAGGCAGACTCCCACAGTCTAACTACAGGCCAGGGACTATGGACAGACCCTCTGATCTACCTCAGCCAAGGGGGAGGTGGTGGGAACACAACACCTTTTTTTAAAGTTCTGCTTGATTCATGCTATGCAGCATACCAATTTAGGATTTGGAACAAAACTTGAGCTTGGGTTTCCCTCTAGTGTTGAGATATAATTACACACCAGCAGTGAGGCTTTTTAATAATTTCCTAGTGCCATCTAGTGATAAAATAGCAGAAGTAACCTTAGGTTTGGGAAAAGAAGCAGGCACCAACAAAACCACACAACAAAAAAATAAAACTATATGAAAAGTACAGGTCCAAATAAATACCTAACAAATAAATACAAATGCAGACAGCAATGCACATCCATAGGAACTACCAGGGACCCATGATCTCACCTAGCATTCAAAACACGATGCCAGAATTGACTACGAGATTAGTCTGTGTAGAAACTCTTAGTGGAATCCTCCAAGCTGTTTCAGTAAACCCAATGAGCTTCCAGGAAGCACAGAGAAATGATCTGATACTCTAATAAAGAAATTTCACAGAAACATGGAGGCAATTTTTAAGACTAAAACTAAAATCTTTGGGGTGAAAGTACACGAGCCAAAACTTAGAACACAATGAAAGGCACCAAGAGCAGAACAGACCCAACGGCAGGAAGACTAAAGGAAGCGGAGACAGGCTGCTTGGAAATACGGAGAGGTTAAAAAGAAGGAAGAACGAGGAGGGTTGAGATCTTCTGGGGAACAGGAGCAGAGAAAATATTCAACCTCCCAGGGCTCAGGGGGAACTTGTCAATATCGGAGGGAAGACTTTCTTTTATAACCAGAGTTATAAAAGAAAATTCCCCAAACACACAGAGATGAGATCAGACACCCAGATCAAAAGTTGTAGTCAGACTCAACACACACAAGTTACTGTAACTTAGTAGTCCCCAAACACACACAAGTTACTGTAACTTAGTCAGTCCCCAAACACACACAAGTGTACTGTAACTTAGTCAGTCCCCAAACACACACAAGTGTACTGTAACTTATTGTCAGTCCCCAAACACACACAAGTTACTGTAACTTAGTCAGTCCCCAAACACACACAAGTTACTGTAACTTATAGTCAGTCCCCCCAAACACACACATAAGTGTACTGTAACTTATAGTCAGTCCCTCAAACACACACACAAGTTACTGTAACTTAGTCAGTCCCCAAACACACACAAGTGTACTGTAACTTATTGTCAGTCCCCAAACACACACAAGTTACTGTAACTTAGTCCCCCAAACACACACAAGTGTACTGTAACTTATTGTCAGTCCCCAAACACACACAAGTTACTGTAACTTAGTCAGTCCCCAAACACACACAAGTGTACTGTAACTTACAGTCAGTCCCCCAAACACACACAAGTGTACTGTAACTTAGTCAGTCCCCAAACACACACAAGTGTACTGTAACTTATAGTCAGTCCCCCCAAACACACACATAAGTGTACTGTAACTGATAGTCAGTCCCTCAAACACACACACAAGTGTACTGTAATTTAGTCAGTCCCCAAACACACACAAGTTACTGTAACTTACAGTCAGTCCCCCAAACACACACACAAGTATACTGTAACTTATAGTCAGTCCCCCCAAACACACACACACACACAAGTGTACTGTAACTTCCAGCCAGTCCCCCCTCCACATACACACAAGTGTACTGTAACTTCCAGCCAGTTCTCCCAAACACACCACAGGAGTCAAAGGGAACTTTTCAAAGGTTAGAGATAAAGCAGA